AAGCTTTCAAAACCATTTACTTTTACCTTGCTTTACTTTAATTAGCAAACTTTTCAACCAAAACCGATTCGCTAGATAATGATTTAAATGAATGGAGTAGGGTACACGGACCGGCCGAGTACTTGCCCAGTATTGCACCCGACTAAGATTTATACTTGAACATTAGACGTGAATTAATTGTGATATTCAGGACGAGACAATAATTCTTGCTTTTCTTCTTTCCATGTTCTCCTTAATTGACTTTGGAGGAGTGTGATGTCTAAAGCCACAACTTTGTTGAGGGAAAAGAAACCATAAACAAAGTAATCTACTCAAAGAAAGGTACTGCTCACTTAAGCAAACATGATAAACAAACCACCACCAATATTATTGATTGTTCGTCCAATATTAATTTTTTATGTGCAAATTGTTTCTTTTTTCTTTCTTTCTGGAGAACAATTTGAAATAGAAAGAGAATAAACTAACCAATGAAAAAAGGAGGAGGCACTCAAGAAAAGAACAAAAGCAACACATGAGAGTAGGAGCAAAATTATTGATTTATGTTTAAATTGGAGGATGGGTTTTAATTTGTGGGTTTTAATTAGGAAAATATTAATTTTTTTATTTTTGTTTGGAAGTGATTGGTGGGTCTCTAAGTTATGATTGGAAAATAGAATATGATAACTGAGAAACCAAAAAGAAAAAAAAATGATGATAATGGGGGAGTCATGTACAGAAAACATATTGCAATAGAATGGAAACTAGGGTTGGCTTACTGGTCCTTTTCATACTAGGGTGGTGGTTACCAAAAATATATAAAAATGTATATAAGATCATCAATCAATTAATGATCACTTATAAATACAGGGTGGCTTAATTTATCAGTTAATTTTTTTTTCCTCACCAAATCTTGTATCAGAAACAAAAACAAGCGTAGACTACACTATCTCGTAATATTAATGGGGACAAACAGATTAAATCTCATTAGTATTAACACTATGAGTTTGGGTTATAAACAAAACCAAATTTTATTAATTTCCCAGTCATCAATGCCCTTTTCTGTAAGCTTATTCTTGGTTTTGAAATTTTTATCGGCGCACTTGCTTTATATTAAATTACTAATTACTAATTAGTTGTTGCTATCACAGAAAGAGATGTTGTTTTCAAGTATGGAGCATTATGAGATGATGGACCAGATCCAAATAAATTTCCCAGTCATAATTTATGCCTTAGAAACTCCAGCCAAGAAAAAGATCTTCAATTTTTATAACCCATAGTAAGTTAATAACTGCATATAAAACTAATTTTTTCATGGGTTTCATTTTTTTTTTTTTTTGTCATTTGGATGGGTCAGTTGGATAACCAGATAATTTGATCAATTTTCTCATTTTACAAAATAAGTTAATTTGAATTATATGTCACATCTCAGACAATTGTAAATACTTTAAGATGAGTCAATTCGAAGTTCTCCGGACCAAAATTGCTCTATTTATGTTGCTAAGTGGGTCTATTTCATGTTATTTTCTTAGAATGAAATAATTAAGTCAAATTGATATGTTAGAATTAGTCACCCGATTGATGACGGTTAAGCTGTTTTTTCCTATATAAAATACTTTTTACTGAGAGCAAAGTAAAAATTGTAACTATTACGATCGCCAATTCAGTTCCGGCTACACGTCATCATCCATATACATAGTCCGTTTGCATGATACCTTCTATAACAAAAGAGCAACATTACAGTAAAATTTGGCTCTTTTTGGATAAAATTTTGAGTTGTTATAGCTACTTAATAGTCAACACAAAACGTAACTGAATATGGATGGACAAGGGACAGAATGGAAAACACCTGAAACAGAGCTTTTTGCAGAGGTCCTTGGCAAAATTGGCTGTTTTTTTGGTTGAGTGATTTAATTTGGGATGTAGCAAGCTGGCTGGCTGCAGCTGCACGTGTGCATATATATCCACCTAGTTTGATCTTCTTCTCTTTCAACAGCAAAATCAATCATCATGGGTAGGTTTGTTGAGCTCTCCAGAGTGGGAGCCCAGAAGATCAGGGGGAAAAAAAGGGAAATGAAAGATGGATGGATGGATGGATGGATTGAGAGGAACAGCTAAAATTTGGGGACCATATGGTAACAGTGTTGCCATTCCAAGCCCTTTCTTTCCCTGTTCAGTAGTAGGGTTTAGGATCAGTTCTGGTGGCATTTTAAGCATCCAATTAAGAGTTGGTTGAGTAAATTTGTTTTATTCTTTTAACATATTCTTCTTAGTTGTCAATCGTTTTATGACATATCTTATTCAAGTTTTGCCGTTAATTATCATTGGGGAGGAGGATACCATGTCTGTGATATTCAGATTGTATGGTTTGGATGATTTGTCATCGTAATTGAGTCGGAAGCAGACAACAGTTAAAGTGTAAATGGTTAATCTTAATTTCAACAATAAAATCTATCATTTTTAGAACAAAAAAAAAACAAATGCAGTCGTCAAGAGCTGACCACGTGTTGCATAACCCATTATCATAACATTTTTAAATTCGCTTAATAGTCGACTTATCCATGTATTCTAACTAATTTTTTATTATTATTGTTATTTATTGGTTTACTTGTTCGATTATGACTGCATTTACTTTTGACATTATGGTACAAATTCATTTGGTGCCTAATTTTTCGACAAATTTATTTACGGCACAAACTGAATATGTACTTTAACGTTATGATATAAATTCAACCAAACCGAGTTTGTATCTTCTATGCATTATAGTAAAAATTATATTTTCACATGGAAGCATATCGGTGCTTATGAGCAGTGTAAAATTCCTCTTAGTTTTGCGGTTCTATAAATATGTATATTCATTGTTCGGTTCAATCACGAACAAATGAACTACTATCAAAGTGCGCATCTGTTCGTAGCTATTACATGATTTGCGGTTCTATAAATTCTCCCACTCATAAGTAACGGGGATGTATTCCGTTATAGTTCAGACTAGGATTCTATACAACAATTACTATATCACAGTTCCGTCATTAACAAGATCCTATTCTCTACAAACTTGTATTGTTTAAAATGAATGTATAAGAAAAGGGGGTAAGATATGTGATGTTGTAATTGTTCCCAACAAGCCTGCAGTTTGGATGCTCCGCAAGGGAGAAAACAAAGCAGAAAGTGACTTCCTGCATATCAACAACTTCTTGAGATGAAAAAACAAAAAAAACAAAAAAGCTAACACCATTTTTATTAATTGCTGACGATTTATTTGTACTGTAACAAAGCTTGATTGGATAAGTTAAGATAACGCAAAATGGTCAATTTCATCATCAGCACTGAAACTATTATTATGATATGATTTGATGGAGGTTGGAAGAAAAGATCGACAATCTTCCAATTTGTTTACTACTGAGTAATATATTTTTCTACACATTGGTTCTCACAATTGATGATGTTGTAATTTTGTCTTTTGAAGGCATTGGGCTGAAGATGATCAACTCTATTGTGGGGATCTCTAGTGACTTATGAACAAACCGTCGATCGGGAATGGATTTTTTCTATTGATTTTTTTTTCAAAAACTCTGCCATCAAATATTATCTTCAAATTAACCTCCAAGCAGTAAATTTGGAAGCTCGAATTGGTTGATTGGACGGTAAAATTGTTTATTTTTAGTTGGATCCGGAATTTACAATATTATTATGAAAATTTGCATCATATGATTTTATGCGATTGCATTGTGCATTGTGTAGCATGTTGATTAGATAATTTGATTATGAGAGCCGTTTATCTTTTCGATTTGCCGTTTATCTTTTTCGATTTGTCAGTTTTTGCTATCGTTCCTTTCGTCATAAAAATATACACATATAGATTTGTTTTTATTGAAGGGAAAATTTTGTGTTATTGTAGCTAGGAACACCATGTCACCATCTTAGTTATGAAAATAAAATTTTAACATTAACATAATTGCCAAAATTTTCATACGCGTAAAAGATATCGAGAGAAACAATTTGTTAATTTCTTTTCCTTCATTTATCATTCGTAAAAAATAATACACAGCAAAACATTGTAATACATTAATGCATCTTTATTGGCTTGTTTTGAATAAATATTTGTGCCCAAATTTCACATATGCATCATTGGATTAGCTAAAAAAAAAATTGCGCTTGACATACCTTGCAACAAATTCTTGGTATGTCACATTTGTGGGAGTTGAAAAACTGATCACTCCATCACTAGTTTTCACAAATCCAATGTTTTGTGCCAAAATCTCAAAATTGTGGCTCATAATCCTCCTTTTTGCAATTCTTGTGACAATTCTCTCATCCAAACAATAACGATTTATAGATGTGTGAATGGAATGTGACCGGGATATACTTTGGTGTGCTGATGTACACTAAATTATATAGCAATTTCATTGTTTGAACTCGACTACCTTAACTATATGAGTTTTTTTTTTTTTTTGTTTATTTAACAAGTTATGAACTGAATAATCCAAAGTGTTGATGATGACGGATCCGATTTAAATTGGCATCAGAAACCTTCACTTAATTATAAACCTGCGTTTGTTTGGTGAGATTAAAATCGACACCATAAAATTAATTAATAAACAAATGCTACATTTTTTTGTCCAAGATCCAGAACAATCCTCTGTCTGTATGCACCCACAATCATGCAAAGAACAAAACATAGCGGAAGGAACAATTTTAGACTAATCATTCATTACAAAAAAATATTTACTAATTACCACCAAACATGTGAGTTAATTCGTACTCAAATTTTCTAAATGTAGCTCGATTTGTCCATAATAAACCTGTGAGTGCAATATCAAAAGTAATTACATAGCTCCTTTTTTTTCTTATTTTATAATTAATTTTAAGACAAATGAGTTTACCAAAAGAAAAAAATTCAAGGCAAATGAGAGAACCACAATCTAGCATGATCCTTAGCAATTGAAAACTTGGAAAACATACTCCCTAAAAAAAGAGTATATATATATATTAGAATCGTAGAACGTACGATTTAACGACGCATTAGAACTTAACCTGATTTATTTGCTAGATAGTATTTATAAATTTCTTCAATTTTTGGCATAATTTTATATATATTTTAGGAAGTCCCACCCTTAATAGTTTATTATACACTATATTAGAAGAATATTAATATAATAATATAGAGCTCATAATCACAATGAAGGATATATATTTAGAATTAACAAATAATAACAATAACTAAAAGAAATAAAAAAGAACCTATACTGTCGTAGACGCAACGGCGCTAGTGACGACGTTAGTCGTCCTTCCAGAACCAACTCTACTACTACTACTACCACCACTGTCCCCACCACCACCACCACCACCACCGTCAGCTGGCAGAGACGTAGACTCACCTCCCGACGTCGGCAGCACGGTCTGAGTATCCGCCACCGACACATTCACACCACTACTCGTAGAACCAGCAGCAGCAGCAGCAGAAGGTCGTTTCCGCTTCTTCTTCTCGTACGGAATCCCGCGGGCTTTGGCCTGGCCTTCCCTGACCTCCCTCAAGTAAATCCTGACGGCCCGGGCCCCAAACGGGTTGGACTCGGGCCGGCCCCCGTTCTCCTCGTACGCGGCCCGGAGGCGGCCTATGAGGGCGTCAAGGCTGCCCCAGGCCTGCCTGAGCGGGCAGGCGCAAGGGGCCGGAGGGCTCGGGTGGCCGAAGTACGGGCAGCCCGTGGCGTGGACTTTGGTCTTCCCGAACTGGTCCAGGTACTTGAGGAACTCGATGACGTGGGCCCCGCTGCATCGGCCCAAGGTCAAGGGTGGCTTGTGGTTTTTAAGGTACTGGAGGAAGGTGTTCCAGTCCCGCCTCTTCTGCGACTCGTACCGGCTCAGCGGCGGTGTGGTTGTAGCTGGCGCCTGCTGCTGGTACGACGTCGTTGTGGTGGATGATGATCCTCCTCCTCCTCGTTCTTCTTCTACTCGTTCTCCTCCCTTGGCTGTGGTCGGATCGGGAGGAGGAGCTGACGTGGGCTCCATGTGGCGGGTTGTGGAGTGATCTGATCGACTGACTGAGATTTTTTTTTGGGGGTTTTACTGCTTCTTCTTGTAGGTAGTAACTAAGAGTTGAATTTTCTTCTTTTCTCTTTGGGTTTCGCTTTCCCGAGATTTCGTGAAGGTGAGGAAAGGAGGAGGAAGACGAAGGGAAGAGGAAGAGGAACCAGAGGGAAGGAGAAAGGAAGGGAAAGGGAGGGAGGAGAAGGGGGAAAATAAAAAGAAGGGAAATGAAGAAATGAGGGGTTTTGATTGATGGGACGTAAAAGAGAAAGTAATAGATGAATGATATTGTTATATGATATGCCCACCAATATATTATAATTATTATTGGTTTCTTGAAGGGAAAAAAAATGGAGAAAATTGTTAATTATATAAATATATAGGTACTCTTCTTTTGTACGTTCATGTTAGTACATGGGCCGCTTGGGCCGGCACGGCACGGGCACGCTTCGGGCCCATTTATTTCGTGCCGTGCTTGGCACGGCTCGTCAGTTTTCGTGTCGTGCCATGCAAGTCCGTTTGTTAACTTTGTTAGGCCCGGCCCAGGCCCGGACACGGTTCGAATCGTGTCGTGCCTATTAGTGCTTGTGTCATGCTCGTATTCGTGTTTAATGAAAAAGACGAAAACAAAAGAGATAATGAAAAAGAAGGTGAAAATAGGACGGAGAAAGATAGTATTAACCGATAATGTTTGAGAAAAGTAACAAATAAGGAGGGAAAGAAAACTGGAAGTAGAGCGAGTGTGATTTGGCTTTGTTCTTTGTTCATTTTTACTTATGTTAGTAATTACATATATATCTTTATGACATTTCTAACAACAACAAATAATTATTTTTCTCCTTATGTTTTGTAATATTTGAACCTATAATTCTTTTTATATTTATTTTCTATAAAATAAATATTATTTTTGTGCCATGTCCGTTCTTATACTCAAGAAAGTCTCAAAAATATTAGGCCCGACACGGCCCACTTATATACCGTGCCGTGCCCGTGCTTGTGCCCGTGCCCATGAAGTTTAGGCCCGGCATGGCCCATAAATTATTCGTGCTCGTGCCGGGCTGGCCCATTTATTTCGTGCTCGTGCCGTGTTCTAACCGTGCTAGCCCGTGGGCGGCACGGCCCGGTGCCCACGTACATAATCATGTATACGTATGATGTGAGACCTTGCGGCCTATGAGCATAGTTAGTAAATACTCTGTTTAATATACGTATATGTACCCATATGTATTTTATTCGTTTAAAACTTTCGTATTCGTATTATTGTCAAGCCGTTTCATTAGTTTTCGTTCATTTGACGGCTCTCGTACTAAATACGTGTAAAACTCGTATAACGCGTTTAATATCCGTATTTAATGAAATAAATTAATAACTTTACTATTTTTTACATGTTTATTTATTTATAAAAATAATAATTTTATATATTTATGACTATTAACGTACTATTAAACGTAACATTAACTAAGAGACGAAGTAGAATATCGTACGTATTTTATACGTAACTTTTCCGAACCGTATTTTATTAACTATGCCTATGAGAACTTAAGTAGCTATATATAACTACTTTTGTTGGAGTAAGATCTCCATTGTATAACAATAATGAATGTAAGTAAATTCTCCCTGTTTCTATTTGGATTTGACTATATAGAAACAGGGACTTTTAAGAGAATCCTTTGCAACTTGCAATTATTTTTAAATATCTTATTACCCTTTTGTGAGGTTTGAGAGCATGTGTGAAAGGAACTTTTCGAGAACTCTTACAATCTGAAACTAACTAAGTTTTTGAAAAATAGTTGCAAGAGTCGATTTACTATGTTTCTGAAGTGTTGGTTTTTTCAGGTACAAGTTAAAAGTATAAATTCAGCTTGTACCATATAGAATTTGAAAAAAAATTGAATGAATTTATACAAAAAAATATAATTATAAATTAAATTTGTACCATAAAATTAACGTTAAAACATCAATACTTTGAAGTATCGTAAAATTCCTCAACTAAAATTTTTGGAAATTAAGAACCCAAAAATTTGTGCCGAAAAAGGAATGCATTAGCGACTTCCATGATCTACAAACTAAACTTCAAGAAACAACTCATGTGTAGCTCGAAGACATCTGAAGATGTCACCTATTTTAATACTACTCTTGCCTAAACATGTTTAACCTCATAACTTTGATCGAATTCGATACATTAATGCTGATATAATTGCATTAAAGCCTCTCCAAACACCAAGCCTTCTTCTCCTCCTGAATTTTTACGCCAACTTAGCTAGCAAAGCCAGATATCTAAGATCCCGCTCACCACATCTACATCTATCATAATCGGGGGTTTCACCATTTCACACTAGACCAGGTAAAACTTTCTTGGTAAGAATACATCCTCAGCCAAATAAAACAGCCTAGCTCTGTAATTGATGGTGGCGATAGATATAGAATTATTGTTTAATCATTCGAATGGAAGAAAATTAAAGCGTGGCGATCACGCTTGTCAACAGATGCGTATTGGGTTTTGTCTTATAAAAAGAAATTGATGGGCGCCGGTAATTAGTAGGGCCCCGGCAGGGAGCGATGGTGGCCGGTGGGGGATATGGGAAGACCGGATGGGCAAAACTTAATGGCGGGGAGGTTCGGTCTTTCCTCGGTCAAAGCACGAGGGTCGGCAAATCTCAAGGCCCATACTCACCGGCCCGCCGCCGGGGTTCTGCGCCGGTGATGGTGTCAATGCCGGCGGTGGAGGTCATGGAAGCGCAAATCTGTTCTGTGGAACGGTGGGGTTTTAACAAAATTGTGAAACCCGAAAAGTCAGTAATAAAGTACTTTGTACTAAAATCATGATTTAAGTGTGATTAATTATTTTCTCACGGCTAATATAAAAAATGGAACTGAACATTTGGATAATTTGAAAGACAAACCTAACAAGAAATTCATTTGCACATAACTAATTACGTGTCTATATTAAACATATTATATAAAAATATTCAATTTTCAAACCAAAATTTGAATCGGGCAAATGATAATATTGTTTTCAACTGGTTAGGGGAGGAATTTTACAATGCTATATAGCATTGGTGCTATAGGTTTTTGCCTTTATGGTACAACTTGAAATTGTACATTTAACGTTATGGTACAACTTAAAATTGTACCTATACATTTTGTACAAATTCTTTTATGGTACAACTTGAACTTGTACTTTTATTTGATGGTACAACTTCAAGTTGTAAAGTTATACCACAACATACTGATACAAATTCTTTTTGATACAACCTAAACTTATATACTTAATATTATGATACAACTTTAAATTGTACATTAAAACACGGATGCTATATATCATGTTAGAAGTGCTCTGGTCAGGTATCACCTATCACCATTAGCATTGCGATTTCTTTTGTTTGTGGATCTTTTGGGTATTGTGAAATCTTTTTGCATAGGATTCCCGTTGTGGGGTATATCCATTATCTAGGAATGGGAATTTCCCTTTCCATCCAAATTTGGGTAACCACTAACCATAAATGATGCTTGCCCTTTGTAAGCCAACTAATCTGGTGACTTTTCGAGCCAGCCAACACAACTGTGGTTTCCTTTTCTATGTTGCAAGAGAATTAATTAAGTCATATGCAGTAAGACAGTGACATATTCACCGATAATAACACATAAACTAATGAACACTGAAGATCTTGGTTAAGTTGTAAAATTAAGTGAGTTTAAATAGCATTTTAAGAGTTCGGCCATCTCTCTTTTTACAATGAATGATCTTTTACCGAATTTTTACCATATAAGGCATTTTTTATAGGGGTGTCCTTTTTAAAAAAATAAATTTAATAAAAATAAATATAAAATAATTAATAAAATAAAATGTAAATACAAAAATACCTTACTCGTACAGTTTAAAAAGTTCATTATGTGTTTTCATATTCTGAAATAATTGTAGAATACACTTGTTGTCTACAATATTAAAAAAATTGTCTCTATATAACCTACTAGACAATCATTCACGAACTTATCGCATATTCGATTTGTAAACTTGTTCATGATGTAACCCAAAGTTGAAAGACTCTTCAACACTTGTCGTACAACCATAAAATCAATACAAATTAAGGGTAGGTTGAAATTAGTTTAATTGCTAGATTTTGAAAATAAGTGGAGATAGAAAATGACATTTTACTATGATACAATGTTCAAAATTGAACAACAAATGAGTTGTAGTTTAATGGAAATTAAGTTTATTAATAATAATAGTGCTCTATGTTTGAATTACCCAATCTACCACTTATATTCACATAACAAATTAAAAAATGACAGTACAATAATCATTTTTTCAAATTTCAGGGGTGTCCCTCACTATCAATTATAATTTTTTTTATTCATAAGTAAATTACCACCGTGGGTTGAATAATCGTTTTCCAAAATTTAGGGGTGTCCCGCCCCGTGCGTCCACCCCTGGATATACCCCAAATATCATGTATGTCGACTCAATCGTATATGTTATTGATTAAAGATGCACAATGTGATCATTACCTTAAAAGCAGTATTTTTCACGTTGAACTTCTGGCCAGTATTGTGGTTAGAGCTGGAGGTTTGTTACTGTTATTTGGAATATACCGAATACCGTATCGAACTTGTCTATATTTGGTATAACCGAATACACGTATTATTTTTTGAGATTGAGATTGAATTTCAATTGTAATTCGGTATTAGGGATTACGGGATTGGGATCAGTATATACCGAAATACCGATCAATACCAAAATATAAGCTAGTGTGTATTTTATCCTCTCAACTGGACTCTCTCATTCACTACTACACGATCCTCAACCATCAAGAATGTCATTTAACTATACACAGATTATTCCATCTTTGTTTCACAACTCAGAAGTCCGCATCCAACTCAATTTTGACTTTTCAATTTGACTCACTCTCATCTCTCACATAATCACAAGTTATTTTCATAACACCAAAAAGCAAATACTAGTGTTAGTCGTCTCTCATCCTCCAATTCGTCAAATTAAAGATTATCAATGACAAGAAATTGAAATGTCACCTCTCATTCATTCTCATTATCCATATCCTAGCTCTAGGAAAATTCAAGACTCTTTGCTTAGTCTTTTTGCCCTAAATTAAATAATCAAATCTAATTTATATATTTAATTATTAATTTCAAATGTAATTAATTTCGTATTCGATAATACCGATTGGGATACCGAAGTACCGATTGGGATTGGGATACCGAAATCATTTAGAGATTGAGATTTATTTTCGGATATAATTCGGCATTCAAAATTTCGGTATTTGGTATTGGAATACCGATACCGTACCAATTTCCACCCTTATTGCGGTCACCACGCAGTACACTGCATATGTTTGATAGCTAGGTGGTGACGAGTGAGATCCCCAAATCCTAGTTTCAAATAGAATACACTTATTTATTTATTTATTTATTTATTTATTTATACACTTAATCTTTTTATATATTTGATAATCATCTCCTACTTCGCTAATCGCTACCATCGTGACTATACGTCACCAATCACTATATGGTGAGGACATAATTTGTGTCTCAAAATGAAAATTAAGGCCGTTATTTTCCTTTTTCACATGTGAAAACATGTTTATTAGTTCTGTTTTCATATGTTGTTGTGACAGCAGGAGTTGGCAACACAATATAAATAAGCTAAAAACAAAGAAAAACAACTTTAAGTAGCTTCCTTGATGTCTCTAAAGTTGTTTTTATGAGATTCTATTCATTGTTGTAATACTTTCATTCAAATAAGTCTATGACCAAATTTCAATATTCGCTTTCTATATATTTTCTCTCTCCATTTTTGCATAATTCACCTTATTACAAATATAATTTTAATATATTTTTTTCTCACAATTTTCTCATAACTCGTCGACAAAATTCCTTTCACTATTTCCTACTTTTGTCTTGATCTCGATGTCTAAATAACTGAACTCATTAAATAGTCAACTTTCATGTTTTATCAGAATTATCAACTAAACGCATTCATGCTTTTCATTGTCATGCTGTTGTGATTATTTCTTTGTTGTCACAACTCACAACAGTCAGCACTGCAAGTCTGCAACCACAACATCAATAGAACCGTACTAGGCGGAGCCTACGTGTCTTGCATACGATATATAAAATGAATTGTATTATCAAATGAATTTGGATGATTCTATGGTCAAATTATTAGTTCAAGGGGAGTTCAAAGAACATTTCGACTATACCAATTGAGCAACTTGATTCTATACATTTCAAGAACATGTGGACTACTAATCAATCGCATGAAGTCACCGAAAGGGCTACGCGAAGATCGTTTGAAGTTCCAGCTATGTACATGCGATACGTCTCCATTCCCAGTTCCGAACCCTTGCCGGCGTTCCTCACCTCGAGGCGACTCGTGGCTGCAGGAGTAATGGCTTCGTGCGTTGTAAATACGATTTCCCTCATCGTTGGCTCGTGACCATTGAGTAGATTGCCCATGCTTATCACTTTCCTCCACTTCTGGTTTGCCGTTGGTGGCTTGAACAAATTCGATACTACCTCTCTTTCCTTCATCTTTACTTGCTGCTTCTTGTCAAACTCCTGCAGTGTAAAGCAGTGCAATTTGCAACGTAGAGTAAGTTACTTGGTTTGCAAGGTACGATATAATCTTCATTTGGTTCAACTGGTTGGCTTCTACTGGTGCCCAGTTTAATCAAAACAACCAACCTTACCAGTAGAATCAAACAACCATCTCCTTGCAAGACTTCGATTTTATATTTTCTTTCTCTATTTAAATCATTTTGTAATGAAGTTAACTTGCTGATGCATGGCTTGTAAGGTTTAAGTGTTCTTTACCTGGTGCTTGACATCGCCCGAGCCTGCCCCGGTCCCCATTTTGGGAAGGTAAAACTCATAGTAGTCCGCGAAAATTGATTCAGAGAGACGTGGCGCATTTGAAAATTTGCGATGGAGGGAAGCTGCAAGAGTTAGTAGTTTTTCAACGTGTTCAAAGACTGTAGACAGCCGCTTGAGGTCTTCAATGGTGTCACTGCCTTTGGATAGCCGGTTTGCTGCAAACACAAGTGGAAAATCATATACTTTTCAAACACTAAGTGGTGGAGTGATTATTAATTGCAACAGAAATTGGGCATGGAAAGCTACTAGAGGGAAAACGATATTCACTTTGTAAAGGCTTCAACGTTGATGACATTGTATTGTAGAGCTGCTCCATTTTTGTTGTCATCTGCTTCAAGCCGCCATGATTGGTCATGTTTAGTGTGTCGGCCGCAGCTTTAAATGCAGTACAGACCATCTGCTCGAGAAGTTGATGGGGCTGTAGTGTTTCCAGGTAATGGAGTATCTGCGGAGACCAAGTTAGCTTAATTTGTCAAACATTAACAACAACAAAAAAACGTAACTTGATAAGCACAATGTGAGTGAACGACAACTTCTATCAACTATATGAGTGTTCCCATTTTAACGCCGGAAAGAATTCCGCACTTACCAGCTCTACAAAATCAACTCGAGACAAACAAGTACACAAGATTGCTTTATTTTCAGTATCTTTTATCCACAATGCGGAAATGTGACACGATCATAATGATCGTAGACAAAATCAGTATGCATTTACCCCTCCGTGAGTGTCTGTATGCATAACTACACCATCTTAATTTCTTTTACATTGCAGAAATAAGCCCATTAGAAGTCAGGAGAAAACTATACTAGGTCCGTGGAAGGAGACACAAGCTTTTCCTGGATTGATTCTCACAAGCCGGTGAACCTTTAGGCATACTTTCTAAAACGATAAATTGGAGAAGAAAAAAGCAGGAAGAAAAGCTTCAGTCAACAATGACAAATACTGCAAAGATCAAAGCAGGAAGCAGTCAGCAATTACCTTTTCTCCTTCTCGATTTGGATCAAGAAGTGGTTTCTGTTCATAAGCCGGCAAGGCTGGTGCATCGTTCCAAATCTTCCGCCACAAGTTTCCTTGCTCAGACATTCTTTTCGAAAGCTGCCCTCGTGGAGGCCAGTCCTCCTTCAAGCTTGAACTTCCTACGGATGCTGCTGCCTTGTCTTCAGTCTCATCGTTGATCCAATCTCCAGGTGAATGCCAACGGATAAAATCCTCAAACACAGCATCTGGATTTGCTGCTTTGAAAGCTGACATATCTAATTTACATTTTCATTATTCAGTATACATGTCAGAATGCAAGATAGAGCACGCGCTTGCAGCATGAACTTTCAACGAAAGCATATAACTAACTCTATCCCAACCTTTCATCCATCATCCATAGGAAAGTGGCAGTGGCAATTTTAACAGAGTGCAAAGCCAACAGACCATTATTAAAGACACAATATTTTGTATGTTTATTCACCTGATGCTAGAACATCTCTCTCCAATTGAGCTGAAAAGTTCTGTGAGAAAGAATAAACAGTACATTAGGTTGCAGCATTCATTACTACGGTAAAAGAAATATAGTTTATCTTATGGGCCATGTAGAAAAAGCATCAGAATTTGGAAGAGCTTAAGATATGAGCTAAATTTTATCCTCACAAGCAAAAAAAATTGGCATGTCGACTAATAAGTAATAAGCAACCTAATGAAACTTGATGTGCGCAACTGGTTAAACAAACTAGTATATGGAACCTTGTGACATGTTCACAAAGGTGACACCTAAAACGATTAGGATTCGCACACTAGGAAAAATACAATGTAGAGTTGTAGAGTTATAGTTATCAAGAATGTGGAAATGCTCTCAATTATTGACTACTGGAAACTTCCAGAATCTCAGCTCCCATTAAAGATCTACCAAAATTGCCTCAGTGGCACATTGCATCAAAATAACAATACTCCCAAACACTTCAGGAACAGGTAAAGTGCCAGAAGAAACTCAAGGAATTCTGAAAAAGCATGCAATCTGAAAATAACGTGATTAAATAGCTCATTTTAAGTTTCATTTTACAACAAGTATCAACAGCAGTTTGATGATTTAGTAGCAAGACATTGTCGTTTAATATGTCTCTCACGGTTTATATCTCTAAGTATGCATCTTTTCCCCTTGCACAAATGCTAAAGATGGATCATGTTTGGAAATACTGCTTGTTAGTTGTGTATTTTTTATCAGTGAAAGTGCATTTGAGTCCTGGTTCTCAAAGGCTACAATGGGAGACACTTTAAGTACTCGAGTGCCTATTTCTACGAGATGCAAAACATGCATTCCACGACATTTGAAATTTTTTCTGTTGGACTTACTCCATTAGCATTCCTATGACATTGAGCACAAATAATCATCTTTACCCTAACAGGTAGAAATTGCACCAAGAATTCGACAACTTTAGAATGATGCTAGCACAAAACCACATACCAGCTACCAAATACAAGCTTAATGTATGGAAAAACGAGAAAGATACGGAGCTTACAAATGAATCACCAAATGCTTCAACAGCCTGCAGGCGTTCTTCATGCATGTCTTCTGTCATCAGGGGCGGATCCTAAAAGAACGAGTTTCTTCAAACAGGGATTCAAATTGGTTACAAAATCTGCAATGGAGATAAGGAATACTAAAATGAAACCTGTGTATACGGTGCATGCATGCTCTGATATGTCTTCAGAAGCTTCATGGACCCAACCACTCCAGCTGAACCCCTCCTTAAATTATCCGAAGACTTAAGATGTTGCTTCATAATGGAGCTTGAAGCAATCTTTTCATATTTTTGTGAACTGCCATGAGCTGTTGGACTGCTGCATAATGACGAGCAAAACTATGCATAAGGATGCATGGGGAAAAGGTCATAGCAGGAACTTGGATAGATGAAAGATATATTAAGATTCCTATCTGCTAACTCACATTCCGACAATGTTTCTCTGTTATAAGTTATAACTATGCAAGTCTTTATACTGAAGGCAAAGTTCACAACATTCTTGAAAGCAATTCAGTTGCTCTATGTAACGAAAACAAGAACAGAACCTGAGCCCCTGAAGGAAAATAACTACCCTGGATCGACATCAAAAGGCTGAACAGCCACCACAAAATCAATGCGGTGTTAGACTTGAAGTAACATCAAGCATAAGGAAACCCGCCACAGCAATTGGAAATTGTTGAAATTGATGCTTCGGTACTACAGAATGCAAGACAAAGTCCGAAAGCCTAATCTATTTATTCCTATTGTTATATAAGAATAACCGTCATTACATTTGTTTGAGCAATCAATCTCGCTCCATATTCTGCACCGCTAATAACTTGGATACTTACAAGAATCTTCATTTCAATGATCAGGGAAGCATGACTAAGATACAACAGCCACAAAGGGAAGGACCAAAAAAGACTTCAACAATATCATATTCTAGCTAGGTATATAAATCTTCAGTACCATGGTCAAGTTGATACTAAAAAACAGCCATTCTCCCAAAGCCAGCTTTAATAACTTGCTTTCACCGCTACAAACAATTCCAGTCATGGACTTCGTGAAGGAAATATTCTAGGCCATAACCTAAATATTTACAGAATGCCACCTCTAGTTAGATGGGTTTTAGAGGAAAGTATAGCAATAATATTTTGGAGATAGGATCTTCTAGTATATTTAAATGTTAGATGATCACAAAATACAGGTTTGAGATGTGGCAGTTAATCAGTAAGATATTTTTCCATCTAAAAAGCGTCCCAGGACCCAAAAATGAGTTTGACCCAACTATTCATCCAAAACGAAAGTGATCCGATTGAATTATAAATACATCTTTTGCTTGTAAAAAATTCATTTGGCAAACCTAAACTCCACTTGAAATGCCCCTTAATCTCATTCAATCAAACTAGTAATAGCAAAAGGTTGGTTCACTCCTTAAACCCAACCTATTTTATGTGAACGGGGAGAGGAAACAAATAAAAAAGGGATCTCACTTGCTTCGTTCACCTGTCATGAATCCTATCAGACTCTGAGCTGGATACTTTTGTGCTAGCTGTGTCATTCCTCAGCGGTCCATCTTCCTGCAATTAGTTGACCAACCACTGAGTACGAAGGAACTAGACAGTAGACACAAAGGAACCAACTTTGCATGGTAAGAATAATATGCAAAGGATCACTTACTGCCACCTTCTTTTGAGCATGGGGTTGATCATTGCTTCCTAGACAGTCTTGGAAATCTTCGTTCAATTCACACTTCCTCTCAATACAAATAGCAAGCTGAAAAGAAAATTAAGTAATCTTAGATCATTCATCAATCATAAAATAGCAAGGTGACTTACTGGGTCTTATGTGTCTAGATGATGTAAATCATTAACAAAAACATGGGTTTCAATTCTCATTACTGGAAAAAAGGTGTTGTAAAAGGAAATTCTGTACAATATTGTATAGGCTGAGTCAGCAAAACAAGACTTAAAAAATAAATCCTTAGAGGAAATGATGACTAGTAAATTCTCTGCAACAGAGAGAAAATTCTAAGAAGTAAGCCATTGCCAACAATTGAAAGAAGCAAGAAAAAGGAGGGTAGGGATGCCAGCTCTATTCGAACATTTTTCTTGCTCAATAATGATGGTTGCATTATACTGGGACGCCTTCTTTCACATAAGATATTAGCCAGTTAGCATAGCACTTAGCAGGATCTGTAAGAGGTGCTGTTTGCTCAATAATGTTGCTCAGCTCAATTATGATGCAAGAAAATGTCTCGTCTCAAAGAAATTCGCACTGGCAAACTGCCATTGGCATTTTAAAGGAAGTTAAGAGACCATTACCATTTGCAGTTTCTGATTAACCAAACAGGTTGCCAGATCAATTGAACCGTTCACTAGAACTTTAGGAAGAGGCTGTGACTCTTCCCAACACCACCGAACTTCCCGAGTGAACTCTACCCAGAGGACAGCAATAGCTGCACATAAAAGCAAAGAATTCACAAGTCAACCCGAAGGGCATAAAACAAGCTTCAGTAAGGAATTTCAAATGGTAAACCTACCACGTATGTTGCAGTTCCCCACCCATAGAGAATGTAAGGAAAACTGTGAAAAAAGAGATCCAACTGGTGCGCCTTTTATGCCACGAGAGTATTTATACTCCTCCTTAGCAAAACCTTGAACTTGAGATCCTAAAGGTAGAATAATGCAGAAACTTAAGAAAAATAAGTATCGGACTTTCAAAGGAAATTTCCATTAATTCAGTTACAAAATAAATTGCGGTGCCTATGTTACTAGGTGGATTATTCCTGGAATCTAAAATTGCATTTGAAACCGATAAACGGCAATGCGAATATGCGAGCAAAGTTAGTTATAAGATACTGAACATCGTAAATACCCCCCCCCCCCCCCCAAAGGTATAAGTGAGACGTATTCTAACATAACCCGCTCCCACCAAGGAAAAAATGTATAGGACCTATAAAATTCATGTGATACTATTTGTAAACGGCCCCATTGAGGCCCATATCACTTATAGGACTAATTCCTATAATTTGGAACCCCATATCAGACACAGATGAGAAAGCTATTCTCTTTTTTAAATTTCGTTAACTAGGAGATGTTGAAGCCGCATAGATTATTTGGATATTTAGAATGTGCGTGGACCAATAATTCAATATTTATTCAAATCAATCCATACACTCCCCTTTTTGTTATCCTCTTACTAATAGAATAAATGAATAAGCAGTGCGATAATTATCAAGCTCATGAGAAAAAAGAATGAGTAAATGTACCCTGAAATAGATCCTTTAGCACACGATCGAGGACAGTCGGTGGGGGAACCACCATTGAGGAAGTGAGTTTATTAGGGGCAATGTTTTCAGCTGATATAAACAAAAATAAAAATAAAAATGAAACAGCGATAAAAAAGAATCCATAATGCAGCAAGAGATCATGTATTATACTCAAGCATTTTCAAGTTGCTAACTATAAGGAATCACGTATAAGTAAATGTGGACATGAGGAAAAGGAATAGTTCCAGACCTGAGACAAAATCCTCTACAAATTTCGCATTAAAGGAAATATCCAATGCATGAATCAGAAGAAGCAATTGGGAAGCAAATCCAATCCTGTTTCCACCTGAACTATCCCTTCACCAATTAACAGTATATGTAGATCCGTTAGTATCCAAGAAGTTAGAAAGAGGAGCAAGTATCAGACTATAACTCGGTATATTTAGCCATCAAAGGAATAACATGGATACAGACTACAAAAACCGCAAAAATGTTCTAAAAACTCTTCAATATTCAGCAGTGCTACGAGTCTCTTTCTGTCGCTTTTTCAGTTATTCATCCCATCACCAGAAAGTTTAGCGAATGTATTGCAATTGAGTCTGTCATCTTCTACTCTTCATTTTCAAAATGTTTTCAACTGTTATTTGTAACAGACTTCACCAACAGACTTTGATTTGCTAGAAAAGAGTGCTAACAGAACATCACCATATGGTTGTGAAAAGAAGGTAGTTCCTTACAGATTTGGTGAGATAACAGGAAGCATCACCCACTTCTCTGCCTCATGAGGGGAGGTATTTTCCAATTCCTCCATTTCGGGAGAGTTCTCGACCATCCTCTCAGGCCATGTTGCAATCAATTCCACTCCTTCATCCATTAATTGCATAAATGGTCAGGAACAAAATTCACTCAGACACCCGAGGCTTAGATGCCTATCAATCTACGCAATAATAAGATCATGAAATGAAGTGCCAAGGCATGAGATCTAAATCATAACAGGCTGAAAGGGAGAAACTCCAAGGCCCAACAGTTCATACTGTGCATCAAGGGGATATGAATGCCAAAGAATCCAAAAAATTAATGCTCCGTGCTTTGATGTCAGCACCTAGAGGACCGTACAACAAAACAGGGAACTTCTTAAACAAGCACACAATGGCTGGAAAAGCGAGTTTGTCAAAAGTTGTCAGACTCTAGCCTTCTAGTAAGGTTCTTTGTTTCTGGTAACGTGACTCATGGACATGGTGGATGTCTTTCACTCCACAAGGTAGTCTATTTTGCTCCATCTTAGATAGCAACATAGAATGTATATTCATGCCATATTATATTCAACCGTTTCTGCACGTTGTTACAGAGTTGAATAGATGTGCACACATACTTCCACACCAAAGCAGGGGCCGTTTATAATCCCCGAGTAGTGCTTACAGGGGCTTAGCCTGAACGAAGCTAATAGAATGTTATAGAGAAGAGAGAACGTCACTTAACTGGACCATACAAACAGCAAAGTGAAAATTTTGATCGAAATTGTTAACATTCCCATGGCGAGGAAACTAAACTGTGTCCAAGAATGAGGTTGACTTCACTTCACTAAAATATTATTAATTAAATCAAATCACGGAATGGTAAGATGTAATTCATCTCATGAAACAGTACTCTAGTCTGAGAGAAAGAGATGAACTCCTTATATACATATACAAATCTACCTTTTATCGGATCCTCCGCAGAATACCACTCACTCCATGGACAGTCATCATCCCATTGTGCTCTGCTATGGCTATCAACACGGGGACTGCCCATACCATCTATATCTTGTGGATTCAAACCTTGTGCAGAGGCATAATCATCATCCTCATCATCATCGTGGGAAAAAGTTCTGTATGTTGACTTCATTCTTAAATGAACTTTGAAATGATAGCTGACTAAATCAAGTGAGGAATAAGCCTTCAAAACAGGACAGTCCAGAATAAGTGTCAGGGAAGACAAGAATCGGAACATGGACAAAAGGTCAAAGCAGTCTGAGTTGCTTAAAAAGTTAATCGAATGTATGCTTAGAAATACCCAGCTTATATTATGCCCACAGAGGAGCATTAGCAACCAAAAAATCAATAACGACCAGAGATATGGACTTGTTGAGAAAAACTCTGATCCAGTCTAACTCTCGCTCCCATTTTGAAACGAAAATCAAGCATGTGAATAGCCTTTGGTGGTCCGGCACACAGCAATTGCAAAAAAAGAAATAGAATCCAACAGTGGACAAACTTACAAACTTGGAAACAAATAGCTCATATAACCCTTCCAGGTGCATGAGCTTCACAGGAACTTGACTTCCTATTCGATCTGCCTCAAATCTTCTGGTAAAGACAGTTCCCATGTTTTGAATGCCAATAAAAGCTTTCCGAGAAGGATCGTGCACTGGAACAAATGCTGCCAACAAACTTGGGAAACAAAACAAAAACAAAAAAGCCTTTCAAATTTCAAGTTCATGTAAAAAATAGTTTTTCTTCAAAAAAAAAGTAAAAAATAGTTAACATTAAAAGCAAAAGGAATATTTAAGCAGTAGGAGCCAGTTCACAGCCTAACTGGCATATCATCAAGTTCAATACTCAATAGATCAATATTGACACATGAAGTTCACATCAAATGTAATATGCAGTAGATTACTTAGAACAATGCTGTCTATGGACAAGGGCCCTCACTATCATCAGCCAGCAGTCATCAGTGCATGAGATTGAGAAGCAAGATTTCTGGATGTGCACCCCATAAATCTTCAATTTACAATGACTATCAAATTATAAATACACATCAATAGAACATAAATGCTAACTGAACGTCAAAAGACAAACTATCAACAGAAGTCAACAATATGCTGAGGTACGGTTAGTGCCAACCAGGATATGCTATTACTTTCAACCATCAAGCACAAGCCTTAAACAAAAGGTTCCCAGAAATTATCTACTTTGGCCAAGTTCATCAGGACCTACCAGACCGTGTTTAAGCTTTTAATTGTCTATATTGTGAGTTAATATCTACTGTGATTAGTGGAGAAGGTCTCAGTTTCCTCGTCATCCTCTACTCGTTATCTGATTGCTCTTGGGCTAAAAAATTTGCTTTAGTTTTCTGTTGTGACTAAATCAGGGATCTGAAACAGACACCAATTAGCTAGGAGCTGGCCATAGGTCTGCAAGGCCTCAAATGAGGTGCTACCATAGCAATCACTAGCTGCAGTCACTTCTATAATGTTCTATGGAAAGAAATGTCACGTTGCAGTGTCCAAGCACCCAGATCAGAACTTGCTACAGACAAACTATGGCAGCGGAGAAGTCTAAAATAACAAACAGTAATGCATTCTACTCTTTCGGTACAGAGGACAAACACACCTGCAACAATTGGTCAAAGCAATTGCAACAGCACTTAGCAGCTTGGAAGCCTCAGGTGCATCAAGTACCACCCCGCTAGCACTTTGAGGAGCAATTATCTGATCAACACAACGTATGAGTTAAGAAGATCATAAAAAGACATAAGATAAAAGGGGATAAGTCCGGCTATACCAAAAATTCCTTCACTCCAAAGCATAATTGCAAATCATGCACTGGAGAAGTCCACTCTGGAATTTTAACTGCACCAACCAGAACCAAAACACATGTCATCCAAGAATATTAAACCACGGTGATCAAACTTGTGAGACAATAGAAGCTTTCAGGTACCTCCACTGTCGGTTTCAAAGAAATACTCCATGCAATAAGTTTTCAAGGCATATTTCAACTCAAATTTAACTCTATACAAGTTCTGTGAAGACTCCATCTGCATTGTGCCCTTTTCCTACAACCAAATGAGGAAATTTTAATGGACCTAGGCAAAGGGAAAATAGAAGATAGTTCTCATTTATATCAGAAACAGATGGTTGTTGCAATCACACCATGGCAGTCAGCCAAAAGCAATGGTGCATGCATGCAGAATAGATCAGAGAGAAAGGCCTATACAGACTTCGATTTTAGAAATCCGAAAACCATACTTTTGCTAGCAAAACAGAATGAGTTGGCAGTTCTGATGGGATTTGTTAACAAAAAAATAAAATAGGAAACACAGTCCATCCTATTTAAGTAACATACCAGCAAATTCTTTGGGCCATCAGCTATCCACTGGCGACAAACTGCTTCTATCTCCGATATAAACCTACAACAAAATTGTGAGAATAGTGACATGATCCAGCTTAGGAGCCACAAACAGGAGTATACTATATCGGTAAGTGTATTAAGAGCATGGATAAGTTAATACCTTTCCCATGAAGACGCAATAGTAAAATCATCAAATCGTTCAAGCTGCACAGAAGGTGTTGAGCAATAGAAGCCTATAAGTCCATTTTCTAAATCGAAAGACGCTATAAGTCGAGAATTAATTACAACTTGCATACAATGTTTTAGCTCCTCACAGGAATGTTGCAATGAGAGCAACAACAGGAATAGACAGTAAGTGTGGATGAAATGAAACAATGTTCTATTGGCGTATTTTCCAATAAACCGAATGATAGGAATGAGACCATCAGTTTTCTATTCCCTTGACTTGGTAAGAAACGAACTGGTCTGAGATCGTCAGCTAACAGAAAGAAAGCTCAAAGATAGAAGACATTGGTAAACCTCCAACAAGTCAGTACCACAGGGATATTTCACTGGAAGAAGTTTCAACTTTCAAATCCCCTAATTTTAATAGTCTTTACCTATGCCCAAAGAAGTGTCACCGACAGCACCAGGGAAGCACAATATATTGCTAAGCCCTCATTACATTCTTCGGAGCCTGAAAATGCTCACATATGATCATTTCAGTTTGGCTAGTTCTAGACTCGTAACCATCAGTCTATCTCATCCAAACTGCCGCAGCCTAGCCAGCATTTGCATGACAGGCGTATGAAGTGAACCATACGAGACGACGAAAAGTACACATTCTGTTAAGTATGGTTCAGAAATGAACAAGTGCGTTACAGGGACTGTCATTGCTCCTAAGGCAGACTCGGATATCAATTCGTAGCCCTCCATGGAAAAATGGAGAAGAAACGCTAGGACAGTGACAAAAAATTTATGACGAAAATCTCATACTCGATATTTTTACATTCAATCAGCCAGTTGCCATCGGGAGTTCAAACTAGAAAAGTGTAACAGAGGCAAAAGACGAGAAGTTCAGCGAGATTGAGTAATGGCGCATACCTCCTCTTCCTCAACTCCGTCTTCTCCGGGAGGATCCACTTTGCTGGTGGACGCCATTAGAGACTCCTCGAAATGAGAAAGAAGAACGATTGCCCCAGCGACTTCGGATTCCTGGATCGCCGATCAGCAAGCAGACTAGATTTGGATTCCGCAATTACAGTTGTTTCCAGGATCTTCAGAGACTGATGCCGATGGCGGTTGCGGGGTAGATGGACGGACGATGGTTATGCAGAACGGTGACGAGCGAGCTTGAGATCTGTTCTGTAAGTTAAGTATCTAGGACACCGGAATTTCCATTGGCAATTTGGCATCAATCGGTCTGTTCGGGGGAATGTAGGGAGAGGGATTGAGTGTAGGAGATTGGGAGCAGGATCCGAGTTCGCTTTTTTTCTCTGGGAAACTTTTGGGTTTTCAAATGGGGTTAAGTCACTTTTCAGTCCTTGAAGTACCAACAGTTGTCAAATAGCCTCCTACACTGTGGAACTTTACACATTTAGATTCTAAAATATGTTGTTTTTTTTTATTATTAAATGGATACAACTGCACCCTACCTTTCATTCATAATCACCCGGGGTTTGGAGATCCCCTGAACATCATACAAGATCCAGTTATACAGGATAGGGTCCGAGATCGGAAACAAATGAACACCCAAAGGTGCATGGTGACCTCTACTAGCAAGATAGTCGGCACTCTTATTGCCTTCTCTATAAATGTGGGCAATTTCAACCTCCCACTGTCTCTGAAGCAGCTCAATAGCTCTATCGATGATGGCTGCATGGTGATGCTCCGAAGAGTCAGGACTCCGTAGCAGCTGTATCGCACAAGCGGAGTCCAGCTCAAGTCTGACATGTCTATATCCAGCATCCCAAGCCAACTGAAGTCCTTCTACAGCGCCCCTCAACTCTGCCCGGGTGATAGAACACATCCTTAGGTTCATCACAAATGCCTGAAGGCTCCTGCCCGTATGATCTCTTAACAGGCCACCAGCTACGGCATGACATGTATCCTGTGCGACGGATCCGTCTGTGTTGAGGGTGACCCACTCAGGAGGTGGCGGCTTCCACGAGATCTCCACCTCCGTTCTAGCGGGCGGATTAGTCGTATGAAGAAGCCTATCCTTGTCCAAAGCGTTTCTCACGACAGTTATCCAAGTCTGGACGCGCTGTAGAAAGCCTTCAGTTGTCACAATCTTGCCTGCAAAGACTCGATCGTTCCTGGTCATCAAAAGAGACCAGCAGATAAGACCAAAATTAAGGCCAGTATGCTCGGCCTTGAGGTTCTTTTCAATCCAATCCTGCAAACTGTCTCTGAAAAAGTGGTGATGATCAGAAGGTGGGATTAGCTTCATCCAAGTTAACCTGGCAAAAGTACAATCCCGCAACACATGCAGGACTGTCTTTGGTTCTCCATTGCAGCTTCCGCACTAGTTCTTTTTTTATCCCAAACCACATGTCACATGTCATTGAAATCGAAATCTAATCCAACGAAAATATCTTTCCATAATTCATTCGATATCTTGTTACCATTCAATCGAAGTACGTATCTATAATGTAAAAAAGATAGGTATTCGAGATCTTACGCTAGGTTAGGTATCTCTAGTGGCGAAGGTAGAAATTTTATATAGTGGTGTCTTCTTTAAAAATTAATTAAATAAGAAAATATCGAATTAGTACAAGTTCCACTAAAAGTCCAGGACGTGTTTTCATATTCTGAAAAGGTTGTAAATACATTTGGTGTCTATACGGCTCAACAAATCTCTCTATATTACTATACAATCATTCACAAATTGATCCCTTATTCGATTTCGAAACTTGTTCTTAAAATATCTCAAAGCTGAAAAATATTATTTCAAACTTGCAGTTGCAATCAGTAAAATCAATAACTTTGAGAAGCAAGTAAACCAATGGATATGATAGAATGGAGAGAATAATGATAGCCCGTAATTGGGCTCCATTTTCAAATTTTTACTATTAGACTTGTACTTAAAATACAACAACATATGAATTATAGCCTAATGAAAAACATGTTTACCCATAATAGTAGTGTTAAAGGTTCAAATCACCTAATCTACCACTTATATATTTTTCTTTTACCTATACTCAAACTACAACCACAATTAGATAATTGGTTTTTTCAAAAATTAGAGGTGTCCCATGGCTCCGCCTCTGGGTACCTCGTTCCTAATTAATTAGGATAAGGGGTATTCATAAATCGATTTGGTCACATTTGATATTTTAAAAAATCCAACCCAAACACACTCATAAAATCATAAACTGCATCAGTTTTGTAAATGTTCGGATTGAATTTGCACCATACAAACTCATTTAACCTCTTATGATGAATATCAAATAATGAGCATTTATGTGGACAAGTCTATCACAGCATTTCCATAATGCTCTGAAATGCTCGCTACCGATCCGACACGACATCAATCTTCGACGCCGGCGACCATCCCACCGGGGCGGCCGCCGGACTTTCCCCAGCTGGTGGCTCCACCGGACCTTACGACACCTAGTCCAGATCTGCAAGCGATCTCCTCCTCCACGGAAATGGCGGTTGATTCGACCTCAGCGACCAATCAGGCCTCCAGTCAATCAAAGGATATGGAAACGGAGGTATTGAAGACCTCCTCCCCTGCGAACATGATCAAGATCTCAACCGGGCCGACGAGTCTCGGAGGTTTTTCTTACGCCGCAGCAGTTTCCGGAATGAAAAACTCTGAAAATCCAGGAGCGCCAGGCAACCAATGGACCCCAGTTGGAGAACATGATCTCATTCCAGGAGATTTCAATGGGGAACCAGCCCTACAAATCTCGACCACCTTCAAGAACAAACTCTGTGCTCCTTGGCAGAGAACTCTTGTTGTCCGGCTCTTGGGGATTAAAGTTGGCTTCACCACTCTCTGCTCTCGCCTCCGGGCTCAATGGCGGCCGACAGGGCATATGGAAGTGCGAGACCTGGACCATGATTGCTATCTGGTGAAGCTCGAAAATGATCAAGACTATTTCAAAGCCCTCACCGAAGGACCTTGGACAATTTTCGATCACTATGTGGTGGTGCATCAGTGGACTCCAAAATTCAGAATCTCAGATCCCCTTCCGAAGAGGATGATTGTTTGGCTCCAACTACCCGGCCTTCCGATCCATCTCTAGCACAAAGAAGTTTTAACTTCTATTGGAAACCTAATTGGGCGCACCATCAAACTCGATTACCACACATTGAATCAGCAAAGAGCCAAATTCGCACGCCTGGCTGTGGAGATCGACCTGGGAAAGCCCCTTATTCCTCGAGTTCACATCGACGGGGAATGGCAGAAGGTTGAATACGAAAACCTTCCAGAGGTGTGCTTCGAATGCGGTAAGGTGGGTCACCCGTCGGTCTCCTGCCCAAAGGTTCGATTAACTCCTCAAACGGGTGCTCTGACGGTGGCCGGAAATCTGGGCGTGGACAGCTCCGACGCGATGACGGTGACGGAACCTAGTGCAAGTTTCGGTCCTTGGATGATAGTTACCAAGAAAAATCGACGGAATAATCGAGATCAAAATCGGAAAGGGAAGGAGGAATCGGAGGAAGGGAAACTGAATCAGGGGAATGGGAGCAGGAATGGAAAGAATAATTTGGCAAGAAAGGAAAGTGGAGATAGTGTGGGGCGGCCTCACCATACTCCTCAGAATACCCAACGGACAAATATCTCAGAGAATAAACAAATGGCTGTTGGCAAAAGCAAGGAAGAGGCAAAAAAAGGTAAGGAGAAGGTGGGATTGGCGGGTCCACCGACTTCTAAAGGACTACTGGGCCCCGGCCCTTCTCTGTCCAACATCACTGGGCCTAAGGCCTCTCCCGGCCCGTCAGAGGCTTCCTCTTCACATGGCACTAGAGGGCCATCTTCCACACCTGCTCCCCTTTCTCCAAAGACTGGGCCCACTACTAACACCTCAAGCCAAATTTTTCCAGCAGCAGTTATGCCCATCCAACTCTTGACAGGGCCCAATGGCACTAACATGCAGATAATTTCGACCCAACAGCCCACTTTCACACCTCTCTCAGAGACAAATTCCAAGCGGCAGGAGCTGGGAGGGAAGCAGAAGCAGAATAAAACTTCTAAACCCAGATCGCGCAAGAGCTCCCCAATGAAGCAGAACCCTCTCAAGCCGCTGCGGATTTGGTCTCCGATGAAGGAGAAGAAGAGCAAAACGAAATCTCGGTTGGCCACCCTTACTCTTGAAGAGATAAATGACTGGACCAAGGGGGGATGGAAGCAGTAGTGATGGATTTGAAGAAGGTAGATTAGCCGGTCAGAAATGCTCCGGTGACTACCCTTCCTGAGAATCAAGCGGCGACTCCCTCCACCTAATTGGTGAGCCCGTTCCTTTTGAACCTCCTTTTCCCTTTCCCTTTTCTCTTCTTCACTCTTAAATATTTATCTATGTCAAGTACAACCTCTTTCAAAATCTTGTCCTGGAACGTAGGTGGAGCTGGGAGCCGAGCTTTTGCGCGGTCTCTGAAGATGGTCCTCGAAACCCACCGTCCAGATTTTGTGATTCTCCTGGAGCCCCAAATTAGTGGGTGTACTGCGCATGCTCTTTGTGACCGGCTGGGCTATTCAAACGTCTTTAGAGTGGAAGCAGACGGCAAGAAAGGACGCATTTGGGTCTTTTGGGATAACAAGAAGTTCTCTGTGACTCTGGCTTCCGCCTGCAATCAGCACTTGTCTCTTCACATTTCCCAGGGGAATGAAGCTCCCTGGCACGGCAGTCTATGCCTCTCCCCATCCGAGTCTGCAGTACACCCTTTGGAACAGCCTGGTAGAGCAAAGCAAGACAATTAATATGCCTTGGCTGCTCACGGGCGATTTTAATGCGATTCAGAGTCCGGAAGAGAAGAGTGGTGCCCCGTCGGCTTCTACCTTGAGAAGGTGTTGCCTCTTTAATGACCGGATCAACCTGGCGGAGCTGATTGACTTGGGGTTTTCGGGGCCACGGTTTACTTGGACTAGGGGGGGAGCAGGGCAGTTCATACAAAGCAAGCAGAATTGACAGGAGCTTCTGCAACCCGATGTGGAACGTTACCTTCCCCAACTCGGCTGTTCGCCATCTTCCACGGCTCCATTCGGATCACAATCCCATCCTAACTTCTGTTGCTTCCCAGGGGCACTCTCCTTCTGAGTCTCGTTCCTTTAGATGCGAAGCAGCTTGGTTTACTCACGCCAATTTTTTGGATTTTGTTGCAGGAGCTTGGGATGTAAACGCCAACTTTCCGAAAGCTTTAGATGAACTTACAGCTAAGCTTAAAGAGTGGAACCTCAATGTCTTTGGTAATATCCAGCAGAGGAAGCGTAGGCTCTGTGCTCGGATTCGAGGAGTTGAGGTTCGCCTAGCAAATTCTTTCGATCCAGGTTTAGCCAAGCTTCATACCAGGCTAGCGGAAGAGCTGGATAAAGTTCTGGAGCAGGAGGAGCTGCTGTGGTTCCAACGTGCTAGAGAGAGATGGGTTCAGTTTGGCGAGCGCAACACTGCCTATTTTCACCAACAAGTCAGTATCAGGAGACGGCGCAACAAGATTGGGGCCCTTAAAGATGCGAACGGGGTTTGGATTGACGACCCAGATGAGCTTGCCTCTCTTGTTTTTGATTATTTTGCTAACCTCTACCTGCAGGATGATTCAAACTATGAGGATAAACTCCCCAAGCAAGCCTTCCCTAGGCTTAGTCAGTCTGAGATGATGCTCTTACTGCGCTCTTTTACTATGTTGGACATTCATAGGGCAATCTTCGATATGAAGCCTTTCCAGGCTCCGGGCCCGGATGGTTTTCAGGCGGCTTTTTATCAACGGTCTTGGAGCACAACTGGGAGGGCTCTAGAGGATATGGCGACCCAGTTCTTCTCGACTGGGAACCTCCCAGCGGCGGTCTCAGATTCTACATTGGTGCTCATCCCCAAGGTTGACAGTCCTGAGCTGGTTACCCAGCTGAGGTCGATTTCTCTGAACAACGTCAGCCTGAAGGCGATCACTAAGGCGATGACGAGCTGGCTTAAGCCGATCATGAGGAAGCTGATCTCCCCCAGGCAAAGCAGCTTCATCCCAGGAAGACAGACCTCAGATAATATTATCACTGTTCAGGAAGTCCTCCATACTTTGAATAAGAGAAGGAGAAGGAAAGGAGGGATGGTTTTTAAGATCGATCTTGAGAAGGCATATGATATGCTTAGATGGGATTTCCTGAGAGATACCTTGAAAGAGGTTGGCTTCCTAGCACCTGGATAAGCTGTATCATGCATTGTGTCGAGCAGAACCAGATGAAGATCTTATGGAATGGAAAGCTTTCTCAACCTATCACTCCTTCCCGTGGCGTTCGACAGGGAGATCCTCTTTCCCCCTATCTTTTTGTTCTTTGTATGGAGCGTCTTTCACACAGGATTGATGAGGCCGTTCTTAATAAGCAGTGGAAAGCCATTCGCCTTACTAAGGACGGCCCACCTCTGACTCATCTTTTCTTTGCAGATGATCTGCTTCTTTTTGCAGAAGCTGAGTCTCGGCAGATTAAGGTGATTCAAGAATGCTTGGGGGACTTCTGCACTAGCTCTGGGC